AAGAGTGTGACTCCACGTGTCTTATTTGACAACCAGAGATAAGTATAAAAAACAATTTGGTGAATTTGGTATGATTTCAGACATTTCTGTATGCTCATACAGACATATCTATTTATATGTGTGTGTATGCACACATGCACTCTCTCATACATATACATGCAAACACAGGCATACATTTTATTTAAACACAAATGGGAATTATAATGTGTTGGTCTATGATTTTTTTTCCTGTATGTTTTCACTGCACTCTTAAGCTTCTAGTAAATAGGAGGTTTGGTGGCTTAGCGTTTTTCTTTTAATATTTCTACCATACAGTGACTTTGGGATTTTGTTCCTTTGCAGATTGCCTTTGTGGGCCTCTAGGTTGCTGCAGATGAATGCTTGGCATTACTGGTGCTACCAAAGTGTCATTATCAGCTTTTGAAGAGCAGCATTTGCCTGCCTGCCTGCCCCTTTTGGCTCCTCTGTTGTAGTCTGCTTGTTCCTACCCCTCATCCATCATGTCTATCATCACAGTACTCTCTGAATGATACTGTGTCTTTCCCAAACTAACTATAGCAGCTGCTGCTCTGCTGTCCCTCAGTTTCTCAGAAAGCTTTCTGTTTCTGATTAACAGCTGTCTTCAGAAGGGATATGAAAAGCTACATGTTAAACTGGCTGGCCAAACCGCTGTCAGTGAGGGATCTGACTGGTCTTGTCCTCTCCAGCCCATAGCCTACTATGCTTTGCTATATTTCTTCTAAAGCTTAATCAAGAGCTCCTACCATTAAAGATTTAAGGGCTACTCTGTAATTTCATTAGTCAATGCTCAAAAAGCTCAAAATTTCAGCCTACCAAACGAAAACCAAATACCTACACCTACAATTAAATGTCTGGATAGAGTGCTGGCTAAAAAGACACTGCTGTGCTGAGAATTTGGCCCCCCGTGGGCTGTGGTGAAGTGGGATGTGTACGTGTTTATGGAGTCAGGAGCACCCTTATTTGCATTTAGAGGTAGAATTAATATTTCTGATAAATTTCTAAAAAAAAATCATTAAAATCTTCTCAAATGCAGATGTTTTCTGTTTGTATTGAATTATTCTATTGTGTAGAAGACAGAAATTAGGTATTTAGAAATATCGGGAATACGTATGAAGGTGATACACTCTTGTACCGTGAGTTAAAGTTTGCATGCCTTTTGAAATTAAGAAAAAAATAATATTTGTTTGCTCTTTAACAAAAGCTTTGAATGATATATTCTAAGAGATTTATTGTCACTAGAGATTAAAATTCAAAAAGGATAACATTTTCAGTTTACCTCTCAGTTCTGCAATATTGGGTTAGGCTGGGTTGATTTCTCTCTCTAGACTTCAGCCTTATTATCTAAAAATTGAGCAGTTTAGATTATTTCCAGAAAATGTACCAGATTCTATCCCTTCAGCTTCTAGTACATATGGTGCTTCTATTTTTGTCTAGGGATCATTCGAACTCTCAATCTTTTTAAAGGACGCAAATTTACTTATGTGTGGTTGGGGATGTAGAATCACATAACTAGATTTGGAGAGAAAGAGTTGACATGAGTTCTTCAGTGCTGTCTGTGAATACAGTTGCAGCCTACACTGGGATTGGATACTGAAGTCATTTTCAAAGGAGAACAATCACATATGGTCAAAATTACCCTTGAGAATACCTTAGGAAGTCGCCTCCTTAGAGCCTGACATACTGTCTCTCAGTAAGTCCAACATGGTCAGTTTTCCCTGCAGCAATGGAACAGATTGAGTCCCAGATGAAGTGGTTGACTTTTGTTTAAAGGAAATGTTTTATGGAAAATACATATTCTTAAATATGAGAATCATACTCAACATTTCCTGAGTATCAATGTACTTGATAACTAAGACTCCTAGGAAACAGTCTCATGTGCAGTCTGGAGTTTGCTATCACTGAGTGCAGTGGCAGGCTCAATAGCCTGAAATAAAATGGCTTTTTTCCCTCATTTAGTTGTTTTTAGCCAGGTGCATATAATTTAATTTATCAAAGAAATATGTATATATTTTGTGACTGCACAGTACTGCTAATCCAGCTTAGTTCAGACCTCATCATCACTTGACTAATTCTTAACGATAACTGCCTAACTTCTACTCTTGACCTTACACTTTCTCTTATCTCTACTCTAACCACCCACTTTCTTGTCACCCACAGTGATTTTTCTAAAATGGAAATCTGTTGTGCATGAAATCCTTGCAATGGCTTTCATGTCTGTTGTAACATTTTCCAAAGTGTGTTCTATGGAATAATAATTACAGAATATATTTTATAATAGATTAAAGATTTCATGGGTTATTTTTTTAAATTTTAATTAGTTTCAAGTATACAGTACATTGGTTAGACATCTATATAGTTAGTAAAATGATCCCTCCAATTGCTCCCTCCCTTCCCTGACTCTCCACCTAGCCAAAGTATTAGTGCTAATTGCATTCCCTATGCCATGCTCCCCATCCCCATGACTATCCATCAGCTACTAATTTGTATTTCTTTAACCTTTCACTCCATTCTTCCAGCCTCCCAAATCCTCCTTCCCTCTGTCCATCACCAAGTTGTCCAATATATTTGTGAGTCTGTTTTTGATTAGTTTGTCCTTTTTATTCCTTAGATTCCACATATGAATGAAATCATATAATGTTTATCTTTCTCTGTGAATTAAATATCTTCTAGGTTCATCGAAGCAATATCTTTTTCCATTTCCTTCCTTTTCATATGTAGGGGTCTTGTTTTCTTATCCTTTCAGCCACTCTATCTTTTGGCTGGAGCACTTAATTCTTTTCCATTTAAAGTACTTCTTGATAGGAATGTAGTCATTACCATTCCTTATTCCTGTTTTTGATACATATTTTTTCTGTAGGGGACTTCTTATCCTTTCAGCCACTCTATCTTTTGGCTGGAGCACTTAATTCTTTTCCATTTAAAGTACTTCTTGATAGGAATGTAGTCATTACCATACCATATTCCTGTTTTTGATACATATTTTTTCTTCTGAAAGAAGTCCCTCCAACATTTCCTGCAATACTGGCTGAGTGATGATAAATTCCTTTAGCTTTGTTTTTTCTGGGAAGCTCTTTATCTGTCCTTCAACTCTAAATGATAGCT